CACCACACAGCCCAAGGAGCTCCCAGTTTGCTGGGAGAGTCAGACACTGACCTAGAAAGCCACTATTTGGGGTGATATATGCGCAAGGGGAGGTACCACAGGGACATGCAGTAAGAGGAACTCGCACGCTCCCCAGGACAGGATGAAAGTAACGGGGAAGGCTTCCCGAAGGAACTGAGGTCTGGAGGTGTCCTGACCTCAAGTGCAGAAGTGATCCCAAGGGACATAGTGACCACAGGGACTGGGCCAAACAGAGCGGAGGAGACTGGGGACTGGCAGGTAGACGTGAGGTAGGAAAGCAGGCCTGGGCTGAACCTTGTTTAGGGACCTTGTTTAGGGACCCTGGGGAGGGGGGGGCAGGTCAGCGCCTGGGCTGTGTGGGGCATGGACAGAAGACTGGAGGTCAGGAGGCCCGGGGAGCAGGCTGGGATGAGGGTCCGAGGGGATGCAGAGGAAGGGACAAGGCAGAGGGAGTTAGGGATCAGGGACAGACCGGGAGGGACAGGGCTGGGAACTGGCACTGGCGAGACAGAGAGTAGCTGAGTAATTCAACAAACATAACCAAGCACTTATCACACGCCAGGAGTTTAACAGGATTCTGTAATCTTCACTGCACCCCTAGCTAACACACAGCTCGCTTCCTTCCTCCCTCCCTTCCTCTCTTCGGCAACTAATCACTGAGGGCACAGTTCCAGGCACTGGAACTTTGGCGATTCACAAAGCATGACTCTGCCATCACAGTTGACACTCTAGAGCACGGATTGGCATGCTACGGCCCCTGGGCCAAACCTGCCAGCAGGCTGTTTTGTAAATAAAGCTCTACTGGAGCACAGCCACTGTCATGCTACAACAGTAGAGTGGAATAGTTGTCACGGAGAACGTGTGGCCCGCAGAGCTGAACATATGTAGCGATCGGCCCTTTACAGGAAAAGCTTGCCACCCCCTGATCAGAGGAAGCAGAAAAGCAACCCAACAAATGGACAAAAGGACATGATGATTCTCTGGCCACTTCAGATAAGGGGGTCTGCAAAGGCCTTTTTGAGGTGACGTGAACCCTGAAAGGTAAAAAGGGCCAGCCGGCGGAACAGCAGGTGCAAGGGTCCTGCGGTCCTGAGGTGGGATGAGCTTGATTTGTTAAAGGTGTAGCAAGGAGGGAGGTGTGGCTGGAACTGAGCAGCTCAGGGGAGAGGGGTGCCAGACAGAGCCTGGGGTGGGGGTGGGGGGAAGGATCATGAGAGGTTTTTGTGGCCATGGCTAGAGGCTGGATTTGACCTTAAAGGTGACAGGGAGCTACCCGAAGGAATTTGATCTATCACTTATTCCTTCAACAAACTTCTGTGGAATCTTCTTTAGAAATACACAGACACATCCTTAAAGAATCGAATCGCTACCTGCAGCTTAGGGAGGTGCTGTAGTGGGACGTGGGGCCTCCAGGGACAGCCTTGGTTCACGGAAGTTGGGGGG